AGTGAACATCGTGCATTGACTCATGGGAAATTTGTTGAAAAAATGGCAGATACATTTAAAATAGAGGTTTACAAGCGAAGGTAAATAAACAAATTAAACTATTTTAAAGTATTTATATAATGTTTCTTGTTCATATAAAATGATCCAATATGTTTTTAATTAAATACCTTTGCATTAGTTTATGTAATATAACAAAAAATTAAACTGATTAGCAATGAAAAATATATGAAAAGGTTCGAAAACGTAAGATTTCATACCATATTTCTGCACAAATAAGAACATGTACTGCACTTATTTGTAAAAAAAAACACATGTTTTTGCTTTTCTAAAATATGCATCATCTTTGCTTATAAAAGTATAAATTGAATATAAGAGATGCTCTCATATGTTCCAGCTTGTTAACAGTACTTATGAGAAGAGCACAGTACTGCTGTATCAATAAACAGGTCATGTCATTTCATTTGTATGGTAAAGGGACTTTCCCATTTATCTATACAGTAGTGACACTGCTGCCAATTTAGGGAATTTTATCTCTAAAATTCAGATTTTGTGTCGGGGTTTAGAGCATATTTTAGGCTTTTTTCCTGCAGTAAATAAAATAATGTAGGCAGGAATATATGGTTTATGCAGAATACTGTATAAAAATGAAATTTGTATCTCTAGATTGGAAAATATGATTTCTTTCCTCTTAAATCAACTCTAAGGTATAATGGCAATCAGGAAGCTACGGCAGCCGAAGGATTTGTCAAATGATGTACTTGCAGTATCATTAACAAGGACGATACCTCGCACTTGTTGATGGTACTGCAGTAGATGCATGTTTTGATACTAGTAATGTTACATAAGTCTGAAAGCAATGAGAATAATGAAGACAAGATCATTGAGGAAATCAAAGGCAAGGATAGTGACAAGAGTGAAGATAGCAACAATGAATTCAGTGAGAAAAGTGAAGAAATGTAAGTATTTAGTGACATCTCTGTGGCAACTCTTATTAAAAATAAAACTCCAAGTTAAAAATGTTTATAATACTATAAAAGATTTTTAAAATATTGAGTTNAATTTGGGTGTTATGTTGTTTTTAGTGTATTGTGTCAGCCTGCCTAATTGCTGTCTAATGTCATTTATTTGTGTTTCTATTCTTCTCTGCCAGGCAGGCTTGTGATAGAATTATGTTTTGTGTGTATCTGGTTGCGATTGTATTTTCAGACCATGATGTGTTACTACTGTGACTCCCCCAGAATAAACTAATGTATGAATGTCTGAAAGTGTAGAAATTGAATGAATGTAGTTTGGTAGTAAGTGAGTGTTTACATAATTTAATGTTTTTCCTACTTCCTTTGACGTGTTGATTTTTGGTATTTGTGGTCTTTGTGTGGGATCTGTACCTGTATGTTTAGTGAGTATTTCTTGAAATATAAATGAGAACATATTAACTAAATCTATGTCTATGTTATCAGTTATTATTATTGGGCTGCAATTTTCATATTTCAGACCTTTATATTCCCACTGTTGTCCATCATTAATCTTGAGGATGAAGTAAGATGACCAGCATGATTTGACTTTTATTGGGAGAAGTATAATGTACAGGGGCAAGACACCATTAAAAATCCAGACCAGATATAGAAAGCTTAGGAGCCAGAGATCCCAATTAACTGTATATGAACTTCTGGTCTGGATCTTTTTTAAATTAAAAGACAATTAAAAATTGCTGCCCAGCATTGTGACAATGTCACAATNATAATGTACAGGGGCAAGACACCATTAAAAATCCAGACCAGATATAGAAAGCTTAGGAGCCAGAGATCCCAATTAACTGTATATGAACTTCTGGTCTGGATCTTTTTTAAATTAAAAGACAATTAAAAATTGCTGCCCAGCATTGTGACAATGTCACAATAAATAATTACTTATTATATTTACATTATGAACAGAAATCAATACAAAACTTTGATAATTTGATGATAATATATCAGAATAAGTTTGAATGTACTTACTGTTTCAACTAGATTTAAAGCAAGTGTTTTAGCAGCTTGTAATCCTTCTGTTTTAGGATGCCTAAATTAAAAAAAATATTTGAGTTAAAACAGAAGATAGTTATAAAATAACAACAGAAACATTTATTATAAATTTAAATAACAGTAATAAATATAGCTATTTTTTCTTCATACATTCAATATAATACATGTAAAATATGAAAAATCATGATTAAAATGTAGATAAATTGACAGTAATTACTTTTGAAACAAAGCAAAAATTTGATAAAATACTGAAATTATCTCTGAAAAATTAAAATGTTTATTAATATACATAGATATTTTAAAATATTTATTTCATTAAAATGTTTTTTTAAAAATTCCTATTTCTATTTTCAGCATAACTTAATCCGTTACGCGTTGAAAGAGTGGAGGGTTTATTTTAAATGATTTGATTGGAGGGATTTTTAATAAAAGGTCACCCCTAAAAGCTAGCTAGCTTAGATCTATTTAGTTCAACTTAAGTCAGTTTAGCATGGCTCACAGCTCTTCATTGAGCTTTGTCCTTGACCTTTCACGAGGCAAGTGTAGACTTCATGTATTCCAGTCGTATAATTTCGTGTACTCTCCTCAGTCATCAGTACATCTTTCACTTTTAAAGATCAAATATCATTGTAGGTGATATATTTTTGTAAACCCTTTCTCAGAAAGGAAGAGAATTAGTTAATGGGTTGTTTGTTCAAGCTCTCTTTTAAAGAAGAATTTGTTATAATTAGACGTGTGTTATCGTTCTCTTATATCATTTCGATTTTATCTTTTATTGTTTATTTTACTAAATAAATGTATTTTAATCATTTGAAATGTTCAATTTTCCTATGCCTAACTCCATTGTCTTACCCACAATTGAAATAATCACTCCTATAAATTCCGGAAGTTAGATAAAAATTTTCATTTGCATCTTAGTCTGTGAAATTGACTAAGTGATGTCAGGAGATCTTGACAATTTTCCATGAGAAATTTTGAATATTAGTGTATTCTCAATTTCCGACAACTAAGCAGCTATCACAAATGTGTGACGGGTCAACCGGAGCCCCGGAAATTCATAAATTTGATCAATTTTAATTGTGATTTTGAAATTATACAATCAAATTCTTACACAAATAATTATTATTTCTTACGTTAAATGAATGTGAAGAGGTTCGAACGCCTCCCTTCCTGACGTCGGTTCGATATATCCTGACCCTTTTCCACGCAATGTTACATTGGCTCCACTTTCAGTCCTAATATGTTGAAGATAAATTCCCTATTTTAGATAAAAAATATTAGTACTTTTAATTTTAAAATACGTCCCTCGCATTTCAGGTTTATTTTTAAGATACAATCAGAATTCACGTATATCCTGACAGTTAATTGATTGTCAGAGTCTACTTTTCCGATGATTCAAATACATTAAAATCAAAACATTGACCTAGCAATTAATATCAATACTTGGATGAAGTCTTTTCCTTGTATAAATAAGTAAATTCATATCAGTTTTAAAATTAAAATTAATATGAATTTATTTAATTTGATATTTTAATATATCGTTTCATTACATTACATAAACATAAGAAAAAATAAAAATTTGTAATTCATAATATGACTAATTTTACAAATCATTTCCTTCTCTTTTATGTTATACAGGTTCTAAAAGTCCGATCTCGTTTAATTGGTGTGTAAAAACCAATATCTTGGAATTTTATGCAGATTAATCCATCACTTTAAACATAACAATGCCCTAGGACAAGGAAAAAAACTTGGCTGGAGCAGTAAAAACACTATTTTGCGGTAGTAAGCTAGTGTCTTATTGCTTCAGACAAGATATATAGGTTTAAATCCGAGTCGAAACTTCAAAAATTTTCATGGGTGAATGAATTCAGATATAATGGACCTTATCCTGAAACCTGGCCAAACCCACGATCAGCATAAACAAAACTTAATGCCCACAGATTAGAGAATTATTAAAAAAACACTCTCACGTTGCACTAATGCTTAATCGAACATTGATATAAACAATGTTCAATAATTTTATCTAATTAAAATTCATTAAGAAAATTTACGGTTATTATATTTTGTTAATATACAGTTATTATGCTGAATGTATTTTTATAATCATCAAGATAAGTAATGACAATATACAGGGTTCCTATTCCAACTTTTGTTTTAATTTCCCTGACTTCCCGGACCAACTTTGTACAAATTCCGACCCTCACGTCCCTTATGTATGGCACATTGACAAAGTAAAACAGCATTTGACTCACTAACCGCATATGTTTTGTTTCTCTAATATTTTAATTAGTTTTTTTTTCTAATTAACAGTTATATATTTTTTTATAATTGCTGAATTATTAAAATTAAAATTAAAAATAAAACATATTATTAAAATTCTGTTATTAATTCGCAACCATAAATCTACATGGCTTTAAAAAAAAAGAAATAAATCAATTATTTTTTATTATTCATTAACAAATTCTATATAATCCATGTACAAAAGTGTATATTTATTAAATTTATCTCTTGATAAGTTTCCCAAACTTTATAATATATTAATAAACTGGAAAAAAAATTGGAAATTGTTTTGTTATGCAATCAAAATTATTAAAATGAAAAATGATATATAATACCATTTAAACTATTTATCATTTCATGTACTTTGTAAAAGTTTTGTGTAAGCTTGGGAGAAATTTTGGGTCCTGAAAATATTCTGCACCCCTTTTCATAAGTTATATTGCACCACATTACTTCTTGCTGCCTGCAGATGACTACGTCTACACTTAGTCAAGCATACTTGTCAGCAAAAAATCAACTAGGCAGTCAGAAAAGCAAATTCCCAGACTTTTTGCCGATTTTTAACAAATTCCTTGAAATTCCATGACTTTTTATGGACATTAATGAAAATCCCTGACTTTCCAGGTGTGTAAGAACCCTGAATTTAAAAAGAATTTAAGTATTGGGATGAATTAAAAGTGAATGATATAAAACTGAATTATCAAATTATGTATAGACAAAATCATACATCATTATGCATTGGCTTTTCATTCTAATTACTTAAACATATTTAAATAGAATTTAAAAAATTTACAATTATTTACGGAAAATCTAGATAAAAAGTATTTTAGATGTACGCTAAAATGTTCTTTAAACATTAACAAAAAACAGATCTAATACATAAGCAGTGCAAATCTTTTTCTTACTTTAAATATGCAAATCTGGCAGTCAAAATTTGATAATGTAAGAAAATTCCTTGAAAAAAATTAATGATTAATACAATAGTCTTGTAAATATGTAATTTTAATGTTTTAAGTTTACATCATTTTTCTTTTATATCATCATATAGATGACAAACATATTTGTTTTCAGATATTCAGCAGGGATATTCAATGCTTTTGCATTGAAGTCTAAAGTGACTTTTAAAATCCAGATTACTGTATTCAGGAATACTCGTAACTTCCTTGTAATAGTTTTATATTCTATCCTTTTTCTGCAGCCGTACCACAACAGAATTTACCATTCAAGCAATTGCTTCGTTGACTTGTTTACGCTTCCCAAACGAGACATTGCATCGCAAAAATGAATTACTTTTAACATGTTTTGAATTAAACAATTCACAGAACAGCCCAATAGTTAAAACGAGATCTGCCATTTTGGAACTGCGGCACTGCGCATTGTTAAAGAGTTTCATCAGCGATTGCAGTGCTTAATTTAACAGCAATCTAAAAGTTTACCATCTGCCTGGAAGTATATGGTTAAAAGGAAGTTTTTTGGAAGCTCCTAATTTGCCTCTTACTAATACTTTATTATTGTATTTCATTGCATACTTTTATTTTTATGTTTCTGTTATATTTAACTTATGTTAATTATTATATCCGTGTATTATATTTTTTGTAGTTTTTCTGATATTTTTCCTGTTAATTTTTTTCATTTAAAATTGTTAATGCTCTATTTTGGAACACTTTACAACTGATGTTTACATAACTAAGTTATGTAAACCTGAAGATGGCTTATAGATTAGGTTGAAAACATTAGTTTGTTTCAAAATAAATAGTCTCAGCAAATTAAGGTGCTTTGTAAGGATTGTTTATTAATTAAGTCTCTGCTGAGTGTAGTGTTGTGGTTACTGTCAACATATGTTTTTAATATTTTATCATGCTGTCTTTTTTTTATTACATCACATACAGTACAGTCAACATGCCCTATTCCATATTCACTGCATAGTTTTTTTACTGATACCCTTCATACATTTTCTTCAGCAATTCCACTTATCTTTTGTACTAACTAAAAATGTTTCCTCTTTTTTTGAAGCCATTAAAAAAAAATGCAACACATGAAACTGCAATTTGAAACAAAAAATCCAACATTCAATCTCAGAACTCAAAAGTTTAAATGACTAATGAGTACAAAGTTTTCAATAATTATGTATACCAGAGAATATGTGATTTATACGTGCTCACGTATTGGTTTTCGAGGCTGTTACAGCCAGGTGGAAAGGTCGAGTGATCTAGATTATACATAGTTATACTCTAGATATACCATTTGTTAGCTTAAATAATTTCAGCACTACCTAGATTATTTCTGATGAATTTTCGAAAACAAGTTGCTAATTTTAGGAAACTGTACTGTAAATTTATGGTCCCGTATTGCAAAATTGAAATTCAGAACAAAAATAATCCAAAACTAAAAGGATTGTCCTAAACAAAAGTAAATTTTCAAGACGATCTGAATCCTCTGGAAAATGTACGTCCATTTGACAAGTAAGATACAAGACAGTTCTACAGCTACAGAATTCTTTCTGATTCCTAACAAATTATATTATATCGCTCTTTGAATACAAGGGTGAACTAATACAGATTACTAATACATATACAAAGTGCACTACAAAGTAGTAAATGCAAAAGTTATTCAATTTATCTAGATAACTCAATTTTTTTTTCTTTACATAAAAAAGCTAACGTATAAAACTGTACAAATTTACAAATTTCCGTTATAATATAATTTAACACCCAATTCATTGACACTTACCCCTGGTCCCAAAACTTTCTCTCGTACCGGATAATTGGATGGGGCATTCTCTAATCCGATAAACACTTTATCTTGCACGAAGAGAGGCTGTTTGATTAAAATAAAAATACAGCAGCATTAAAATTTAAATAATAATTAAAAATCTTTATCTTAAAAGTTGGAACATTTTGTAAAATATCAAAATAATAATAATAAATTGTTTTTTTGATTTTCTAATAATAAAATATATTTATTTTTCTGTATTTATAGTAAATTATAATTAATATAGGCAACTTCTTTCTAATAACCAAACTGTCAGACAATCATTAAAAATTAATGGAAATATTTTAGTTTTTATAAATATTCTTTATAATGTATGTAATAAATAAATTTTTAATTAAAGAAGCAGTCTTTTTCTATTCTTAATAATAAAAAAAAAGTATTTATATAATGTTTCTTGTTCATATAAAATGATCCAATATGTTTTTAATTAAATACCTTTGCATTAGTTTATGTAATATAACAAAAAATTAAACTGATTAGCAATGAAAAATATATGAAAAGGTTCGAAAACGTAAGATTTCATACCATATTTCTGCACAAATAAGAACATGTACTGCACTTATTTGTAAAAAAAAACACATGTTTTTGCTTTTCTAAAATATGCATCATCTTTGCTTATAAAAGTATAAATTGAATATAAGAGATGCTCTCATATGTTCCAGCTTGTTAACAGTACTTATGAGAAGAGCACAGTACTGCTGTATCAATAAACAGGTCATGTCATTTCATTTGTATGGTAAAGGGACTTTCCCATTTATCTATACAGTAGTAACACAGCTGCCAATTTAGGGAATTTTATCTCTAAAAGTCAGATTTTGTGTCGGGGTTTAGAGCATATTTTAGGCTTTTTTCCTGCAGTAAATAAAATAATGTAGGCAGGAATATATGGTTTATGCAGAATACTGTATAAAAATGAAATTTGTATCTCTAGATTGGAAAATATGATTTCTTTCCTCTTAAATCAACTCTAAGGTATAATGGCAATCAGGAAGCTACGGCAGCCGAAGGATTTGTCAAATGATGTACTTGCAGTATCATTAACAAGGACGATACCTCGCACTTGTTGATGGTACCGCAGTAGATGCATGTTTTGATACTAGTAATGTTACATAAGTCTGAAAGCAATGAGAATAATGAAGACAAGATCATTGAGGAAATCAAAGGCAAGGCTAGTGACAAGAGTGAAGATAGCAACAATGAATTCAGTGAGAAAAGTGAAGAAATGTAAGTATTTAGTGACATCTCTGTGGCAACTCTTATTAAAAATAAAACTCCAAGTTAAAAATGTTTATAATACTATAAAAGATTTTTAAAATATTGAGTTTTTAAAAGTATTTTGCAGAATACAGTGCCAATTTTGCCCCATCCTCGTTTCTGTGTGGAAAATATGGTAACCTTTAGCTACAAATATAAACATTGAGTAGTCAAATTCTTCATTAATACCAAATGATCTACCAAGCTAATCAATTACTCAATATCTAATTATTAAATGTAGCTATAATATAGCCCAATACAATCTGGCAAACTGTTTGGTATTAATTTGTATCTACTGTAAATCCTCATCCCACTCATGGGTGATTACATGAGGCATTGTAATGAGGCATTTAAATATCATTTTTATTGGAATATATATGAGATAAACAACAATCTGATTTACAAGGATTGGAGTATAAGTCATGGCAACTATTTTTTTTCATGAGAATGCAGGACCAGCACAAAACTTTGAAATATACAAATGGAATGGGCAGTGTATGGTGTAGTACNCTCATCCCACTCATGGGTGATTACATGAGGCATTGTTGTTTTAAATATCATTTTTATTGGAATATATATGAGATAAACAACAATCTGATTTACAAGGATTGGAGTGATATAAGTCATGGCAACTATTTTTTTTTCATGAGAATGCAGGACCAGCACAAAACTTTGAAATATACAAATGGCAGTGTATGGTGTAGTACGAACAATGCAGATCATCTGTACCTGGGGTAGGTAGGAAAGTGCAAAAAAATCTTAAACAACACTATTGTGCTACATGTGTTTATTAGTCAAAAGGCTATATTGGAAATACAAAAACAAAACAGGTGCACACACGTCTCCTTCCTGCTGGTAGCATGTAAGATGGTCACGGCATATTGCATGCCATATCCACTTTTGAACTTCAGTGAGTGGATGCTGCACCCACCTCACTACAACTTTCCATATTTGAAGGTCTTGTAGAATTCTGTAAATGGTTCACTTCTTAATGCTGGTTTCTGCCTGTAACTCAAGCAATATCCATCATTACTGCATATGACCCCAGTCTGCACACTCACAGTTCATCCTGAACATTGAAGGTCATCAATGACCCAACAAATAAAAAATATATACTTTTTTATTACATTTATTTATATGTAATAATAAAAATACATATATACACATTCTTGCATTTTTATTAGTCATGTTTTTTCCATTTGTGGGGGTTAAAGAATCTGTCTAATGTCGATTGCTTTTCTCTCGTCTTCAGGATTTTTTAGAAGTAATTAATAGCATTGTGTGAGCCCGTGGGCCTATCTATGGGCCAGAGTGGAGAAATGAGCGAATTTCGCACAAAATTATGATTGTAATTTAATTTCTTAATGCAATTGTTATAAGAAAAAAAACATTGCTCTAGAAGGGATCAGATGACGTTCTCTCTAAACAAACAGAGAGGAATTTTGACAACATGATGGCCAAAGGAAATCATTTGATTGTGAAAGAGTGACAGCTGCTATTACATATCATCAGAAGAAACCTATGCCCGCACCTGAGAATGAACCTTTGACATGTCGATAGTTGATCACATGGTCATTTTCCCAGGCATCAAGCATAGAAGGTGGAGACACTGAAGTCCCGGGCGGTTATCCCATACAAAGTCCAAAGGAAGGTGAATAGATTAATTAGTGCCCGGAGTAATCAACGACTAGGTGCCAAGTTCAGCAGACCTCCACAAATGGACTGTCCCGCCCATGCAAGTCAACAATAAGAAGACCGCCATACAATCGCCAGTCTTCTTCAAATTCCTCTCTCTCCGATCGAACAAATGTCATCTAATCTGACCAACGACTATTGAGGTATCTATAGATTATTGTAAAGTCTCTCAGCAGAAGTAGCGACAGAGCTAGGTCATTAGGTCAGCATGCGAGCTGATTAGAAACTTTTGTCAATCCCCTCCAGAGGAGTGTATATGTAACCTCATTTAACCACACCTAACTTAGGCTTAGTTATATGTATCTCGAACCACACTGACAGATGTGGAAGGGTTCACCATTTGACTGTCTGTTAGTGGCCCATTGGCAAACTTTTGACATTATTTACAGAAAGGCGCTGTATTGTCATCACATTGTCACCGTAAATTGCCAAAAGTTCATGATAGATTTTTGTGGGTGTCAGTTTCTTTGCCCACAAAAACAAATAACTCCACACACTTTGTCTTTCATCCACTCTGCCAAGATACTTGCCATCTTCTCTGTTGTATCATCAGTTTCAAAGCCCAAGATGCCAACAATTACTATTATTTGGTGGCCAACGTATGTACCATGTAACCCTACACGGGTCAAATGCATGCTATCATTGTATCGACAAAAATAAAATAGGGAACTTTATATCTTGAATCGCCTTATATATCAAAGTGAAATCTAATTCACAGCACCAATCTGTTTAAATCTTTATTATATGAGTATTTTGTTACACCATACTGTGTAACAAAATACTTTCTTTAAAAAACTTATGCAATTATTTATAANATTGTTATAAGAAAAAAAACATTGCTCTAGAAGGGATCAGATGACGTTCTCTCTAAACAAACAGAGAGGAATTTTGACAACATGATGGCCAAAGGAAATCATTTGATTGTGAAAGAGTGACAGCTGCTATTACATATCATCGGAAGAAACCTATGCCCGCACCTGAGAATGAACCTTTGACATGTCGATAGTTGATCACATGGTCATTTTCCCAGGCATCAAGCATAGAAGGTGGAGACACTGAAGTCCCGGGCGGTTATCCCATACAAAGTCCAAAGGAAGGTGAATAGATTAATTAGTGCCCGGAGTAATCAACGACTAGGTGCCAAGTTCAGCAGACCTCCACATATGGACTGTCCTGCCCATGCAAGTCAACGATAAGAAGACCCGCCATACAATCGCCAGTCTTCTTCAAATTCCTCTCTCTCCGATCGAACGAACGTCATCTAATTTGACCAACGACTATTGAGGTATCTATAGATTATTGTAAACTCTCTCAGCAGAAGTAGCGACAGAGCTAGGTCATTAGGTCAGCATGCGAGCTGATTAGAAACTTTTGTCAATCCCCTCCAGAGGAGTGAATATGTGACCTCATTTAACCGCACCTAACTTAGGCTTAGTTATATGTATCTCGAACCACACTGACAGATGTGGAAGGGTTCACTATTTGAATGTCTGTTAGTGGCCCATTGGCAAACTCCTGACATTATTTACAGAAAGGTGCTGTATTGTCATCACATTGTCACCGTAAATTGCCACAAGTTCATGATAGATTTTTGTCGGTGTCAGTTTCTTTGCCCACAAAAACAAATAACTCCGCACACTTCATCTTTCATCGACTCTGCCAAGATACTTGCCATCTTCTCTGTTGTATCATCAGTTTCAAAGCCCAAGATGCCAACAATTACTGTTATTTGGTGGCCAATGTATGTACCATGTAACCCTACGCGGGTCAAATGCATGCTGTCATTGTATCGACAGAAATAAAATAGGGAACTTTATATCTTGAACTGCCTTATATATCAAAGTGAAATCTAATTTACAGCACCAATCTGTTTAAATCTTTATTATATTACTAGCTGCAAGGACCCGCTTCGCTGGGTTTTTATTTGTTCGTACATTTGTATGTAATATAGTTTTTGTTTTTTATATATAAAATACTGTTTTTCTAAGTAATCTAGAATCTAACTGCAAGGATGAGACGCAACCACCCCTATGCACGAATGGAGACTTGGAACTACCACCACATACAAACACCATTCACGTGCGATGTGTAGTTTTTGCGAAAAAGTGAAATATAGGGACATACATGTCGATTTTTATTTATATATATGTATATATATANGAATTTCGCACAAAATTATGATTGTAATTTAATTTCTTAATGCAATTGTTATAAGAAAAAAAACATTGCTCTAGAAGGGATCAGATGACGTTCTCTCTAAACAAACAGAGAGGAATTTTGACAACATGATGGCCAAAGGAAATCATTTGATTGTGAAAGAGTGACAGCTGCTATTACATATCATCAGAAGAAACCTATGCCCGCACCTGAGAATGAACCTTTGACATGTCGATAGTTGATCACATGGTCATTTTCCCAGGCATCAAGCATAGAAGGTGGAGACACTGAAGTCCCGGGCGGTTATCCCATACAAAGTCCAAAGGAAGGTGAATAGATTAATTAGTGCCCGGAGTAATCAACGACTAGGTGCCAAGTTCAGCAGACCTCCACAAATGGACTGTCCCGCCCATGCAAGTCAACAATAAGAAGACCGCCATACAATCGCCAGTCTTCTTCAAATTCCTCTCTCTCCGATCGAACAAATGTCATCTAATCTGACCAACGACTATTGAGGTATCTATAGATTATTGTAAAGTCTCTCAGCAGAAGTAGCGACAGAGCTAGGTCATTAGGTCAGCATGCGAGCTGATTAGAAACTTTTGTCAATCCCCTCCAGAGGAGTGTATATGTAACCTCATTTAACCACACCTAACTTAGGCTTAGTTATATGTATCTCGAACCACACTGACAGATGTGGAAGGGTTCACCATTTGACTGTCTGTTAGTGGCCCATTGGCAAACTTTTGACATTATTTACAGAAAGGCGCTGTATTGTCATCACATTGTCACCGTAAATTGCCAAAAGTTCATGATAGATTTTTGTGGGTGTCAGTTTCTTTGCCCACAAAAACAAATAACTCCACACACTTTGTCTTTCATCCACTCTGCCAAGATACTTGCCATCTTCTCTGTTGTATCATCAGTTTCAAAGCCCAAGATGCCAACAATTACTATTATTTGGTGGCCAACGTATGTACCATGTAACCCTACACGGGTCAAATGCATGCTATCATTGTATCGACAAAAATAAAATAGGGAACTTTATATCTTGAATCGCCTTATATATCAAAGTGAAATCTAATTCACAGCACCAATCTGTTTAAATCTTTATTATATGAGTATTTTGTTACACCATACTGTGTAACAAAATACTTTCTTTAAAAAACTTATGCAATTATTTATAATTAAAAAAACAATATAATCGGAAAGTAAAATATTTTTTTAAAATCTTACCCCAGAAGAAAATGAATTTGAAACATTGACTAGTGGAGTTTGTATAGTATCATTAGCCACAGGAGGATAAGTAACACTAAGTAAAGGAGCAATGTTTTTAGCAATTCCTCCACTTTCTAAATGATGTCCTATTATTTCATGTATCCTAGAAACTGCCACTGTAATAAAAATATTTTAAAATAATTTAGCATTTTATAAAATTTAAATTTGATCTTAATGACACAAGCGCAAAAAAACATTGGCAATTATAGAGCATTTTAATTAATAATTCCATCAATAACAAAAGACATTTAGATAATTTTCCAGTTTTTTTCTTTTTCAAAAAGTCTAATGTCTAAAAAGCATAAAAATCTTGATGTTTATTCATTCCTAAGTAAAGAAAAATATTGGAATAGACTAAATTGTTTGACATGTTACATTTACCAAAGATTTCAGCAACTACATGCATGCTGCAAAAATATTCATTAAAAAATAATTAGTAATAAAGTTTTAAAGCTATAACAGTGCTTTCACGTTCCTTTGATTTTCAGTTTTATCGTCTTACTGAATTATCTGATTTGTCAAAGAATCTATGATGATATTAATAGCATCATCAATTAATAAATAATCAAAGTTCTTTTTTACAAAGCACTAAGGTAAAAAGTAGCCAACAACTAGTGTTTGGTTACCTAAATGAAAACATACCTTATTTTTTTATAAACATATAACAATAATACTTACTGTCTACAGCGTCTTGTGTAGAAGCTTGTATGTGTAAATAAAGGGGTCTGTCACTGGAAAATTAAAAAAGTTTTAGTCGTTAATAATTTAAATAAAATATTAATGATTCAAAATGTAATTATTTTCATTGTGTGAATTTATTTAAATATTTTTACCATTAATTATTATTTTTGTCATAAAAATTTAATGTATGCTATAATCAATATATATGTATACAGTCATACCCATCTGTAATGGAATCTCGTGGAACAAGCAACTCTTCCATAGTAAATGGGTGTCCGCTATATATGTGCTACTTTACATTGATTTTTGCAGAAAATTCGATGGGACTGATGAAATCTACCCTTAATGAGAGGTTTTCACTATATACAGGTTCTGTTATAGACAGGTTTGACTGTATATATGTAAATATATATATATATATTTTAACTGTCACGTGTGTGTGTCTGTTCTTCATGCATTACCACACCGTATATGCATTTTAACTGTATATTTGTAACTACTTAAGATCAGCTTTACATCACTAACCTGATACCATCGTAATGTCAATTCTGCAGAAGGATTTCTGTAAAATCCACCAACGTCAGCTCCACAGAAAGACATACCGGTTATACTCAAAGATAAAAGCATAGGAACTGTAATACGTAGATGACCCCAATCTGCATCATTATCACCTGTCCATACAGCACCTTTAAGGGAAAAAAATACAATGTTAAAAATTTTTAAATTACCATTTGAATTATTTTTAATTAATAAATTCTGTTTTGAATTAAAATCACTAACCAAATCTTTGCGATCCAGCAAAAAATGACCTTGATAATATGAATGGTCTTTGTTGTCCTTTGGACCTCATTAGATGTCCTTTATATGTACCCATCACCATTAACATACCATAAATATTATGGACATCACGATGTTCCCAGCCACCGAAGTGTTTACAATCTTTTGGCATGGTAATCTCTGGCTCACTAAATACAGATGGCTCATTCATGTCATTCCAAGTATATAATGATAGAGTAGAGCCTTTATATTGTTCTAATAAATATTTTTCGGCCCACCAGTCTCTAACAATTGGATTTAAAAAATNAACTTATTTTTTCATTGTGTTAAACATGTCGAGTTTCGTGCCAAAAAAAGAGTATTTGTGGGGAATTTTATTGCACTATTTTATTCAAAAAAAAATCTGCAGCTGAAGCACACAGAATTCTTGTTGAGACTTACGGCAACCATACTCTGTTGGAAACAACATGCAGAGATTGGTTTAGATGCTTCAAAAATAATGATTTTGATATTGAAGATAAAAAACGATATGGCGCACCAAAAAAGTCTGAAGACAAGGAATTAGAGGTGTTACTTCACGAAGACTCATGTCAGACGCTAGCTGAACTTGCAGAATCATTAGGAGTTGATCACACAACAGTTTTGAAACATTTAAAAAAGATTAGGAATGATTCAAAAGCAAGGACATTGGGTGCCGTATGAGTTGAAGCCAAGAGACGTCGAACGGCGTCTTTTCACATGTGAACAGCTGCTTCAACGGCAGAAAAGGAAAGGTTTTCTGCATCGTATCATGACAGGCGAAGAAAAATGGATACACTATGATAACCCTAAGCGTAGAAAATTGTGGGGTAAGCCCAGCCATGCATCAGCATTGTCAGCAAGGCCGAATATCCATGGTTCGAAGCTTCTGCTCTGCATTTGCTGGAATCAGCTAGGTGTAGTTTCTTACGAGCTGCTCAAACCAAACAAAACCATCAAGGGAGATCGCTATTGACTACAATTGATGCGTTTGAGCCAAGCATTGAAGGAAAAATGGCCGTTATATGAGCAGTGACACAACAAAGTGATTTTGCAACATGACAATGCTTGGCCACATGTTGCACAACCAGTGAAAACCTACTTGGAAATGCTTAAATGGCAAGTCCTACCCCACCCACCGTATTCACCAGACATTGCCCCTTTTAATTATCACTTGTTCTGATCGATGGCACATGGCTTGGCCAAGCAGCACTTCCATTCTTATGAAGATGCCAAAAAATGGGTTAATTCTTGGATAGCCTCAAAAGATGTGTCGTTTTTCCGACGTGGAATTCAAATGCTGCCAGAACGATGGGAGAAATTAGTGGCTAGCGATGGACAATACTTTCAGTGACATGTTTTTTACGACATTTTTTAAATAAAGTGTTAATTTTCACAAAAAAACAGCAAGAACTTATTCAAGGTCCTTATAGTAATGTACTGTGTCCATTTTAACATTCAGAAAAAAAATAAACACAAAGAAAGTATAAATATGAAGGCTAATTGATAAATAAGGTGTCTTCTTTTGTAAAATCAGTTTGAGAAGAAGTAGAACAACATGGCCAATTTTAAAAAGCAATAAAAATGACTTATTTTAAGTTCTTAAATATAAGGAGACAGCATGATCAATATGCTGACGATCACGCCAAAATACTTTATTGTAAAAAGAGAGGCACTGAGGTCGGCGTTATGTGCGCGTTTTTCTTTAATCGCTAGTACTTTCGACGAACATATGGTCGTCGAAAGTTACTCCCTCTTCTGTAATTGCTAAATCCACCATCACTTCAAGTATTGGTATACTACGGTCAGACGCCTACACCTTTTACAAGCTGGATGTAGTATCTTTATATCCCTCAGTACCAACCTTTGAGGCAGTAATGCTGGCTAATTCTCTACTTCTAAGAAAGGGCTTTAACATCCAACAGGTGCTTGATTTACGAGATGCGCTCAGCTTCGTCACCGAGTGTAATTACTTCCGTTTCAACCAGAAAATCTATTTACAAAAGCAAGGGGTTCCTATGGGCTCCCCTTTATCTGCTATCCTGGCAGAACTTATTATGAGAGAGATCGAGCACAGAACGTTCAATTCCCCGCTTGCCATCCACTATCCGAGGCTGTATTTGCGTTACGTTGACGACATCCTCATAGCGTGGGAAGACACAGATGAGACGTTCCTCATCTTTATGCAGCAACTGTCAAGCATATATCCTTCCATCAATTTCTCTTGGGAAAAAGAAAGCGATGCGGCAATAACGTTCTTAGACCTGCATATAAGTAAGTCTTCGGAAGGACTACAATTCTCGGTTCATCACAAGTCCAGCATAGCTCCACATATTATACCAGCAGAGGCTTTTCAGCCTTCTCGATATGTCAATGCTGCCATTGCCGCTCTCGTTAGAAGGGCTTACTTACTATCATCTTCGCAAGAGCTGGTAAACATGGAGTTAGACAACATAAGTTTGGGGGTACGCACTGCTGGCTTTTCACGTGCAAAATTTACGCACGTGCTCAATATGGTAAAGAAATCACTGTTTCCAAGTACCACATTATGCAGCAAAAGAGAATTTTCAATGGTACAAACATCGTTGCCATACCTGGGACCCCTCTCTATACGTATCTGCAGAATCTTTAAGCAGCACGGCCTTATACTACCACTAACCCCACTTCCAAACCTACGCAAACTCATTTGTAATGATAGGGACAAATTTTCCACGCTTGAGAAGTCGGGGGTCTATGCTGTACCTCTGGAAAACCTTACAACGGGAGTAAATGCAAGATATGTCGGGGCCACTACTAGAATGCTTGCCAGCCGACTAGAAGAGCACCAAAACGATGTTGCGAGGGGTAGACACACCACCGAGCTCGCAAGAAAAGTACTTGAGCAGGGTTACAACCCGCTATGGTCCCAAGCGGTTATGCTCAAGAGCTGTAAGGATCGAAAAATCGTATTTATATGGGAGTCTCTTCTTACTACCACCTTGGACACGTGCAACATTCCAACTCTCGAGCTGCCCAGTGTATGGGTCACACTATACAAGCAATTAAGTAAAAATTAGCATTCTCCAGAATGCGTACAGTGTGTGTTTAGATCTGCGCATGCGCGTATTCGCACATCATGGAGCTTTCTGCTCGTTCGTTTTTCGAACATTTTTGAATATTTCTATCGTGTTCCTAACGACTTTGACTAAAGTTTCATCTTAAATTTAAAGCGTTCTATTCCAAATCGGATTATTTCCGTTTAATTCTTTCGGTAATTCGCCTGATGACGACGACCATATGTTCGTCGAAAGTACTAGCGATTAAAGAAAAACGCACACATAACGCCGACCTCAGTGCCTCTCTTTTTACAATAAGGAGACAGCATTTTCATCAATCCACAAGTATTTTAAATCATTATAAGAAAGACAAACTATGGAAATAAATCATATAACTGTAGTTTCTGATGTAATGCCAGTAATTTCAAAATTTCAAAATAAACAATAGTGATCTCAAGAGATGCCATGCGACACAAGTAAGGCAGTTGAACTCATGTGACACACACAGGATTAAGAAGGAAGGATATCTTTCTACTCTTTTTTTAAGTAAACGTTTTGACTTGCACAAATTTCATAAAAATAATCTTACTATTCAGTAATAGAACTATTAATTTTAAACATTTAAGTTATGTTTAAACATTTTGTGCACTTTAGTTTATAATAATATATTCTTACCTGGAAGTACTTTTCTGTTTGTCATCAAAATTCATGTAACGTCCTCTAGTTGAAATTGCTGCTCCACTATATTTACAAATCTAGATTTTAAATAATTTATAAATCTCATTATAAGTATTAATTATAACAAAAATTATGTATTTAGTAATTTTAACAATAAATTGCTTTTTAAGATTCATATCAATTCTAATAGAATTTTACATCACAGAGCAACTGAAACGCAGTGCTGTCCATTAACATCTGCTTTTATAACTGCTATAAATTTATAAATTCAGAAATGAAACATGTGTATATTAAAGCAATAATTTTTAACCAGGAATCAAATATATCTTTTTAGTGGAAGAAACTTCAAATTAAAAAAATTACACAGTGAAGTCAATAAATGGGAAAATGAGTCTTTATTTACTATTTTTAGTATACGAAAAAGCTTGTTTTGTGTTTCCTTTAAACATAGACATGTGTCCTAAAAATCTGCACAAACTTCAGTTGCATTTTCCGGTAATTTTGAATAATTACACATTCACACGAGACAGCTTACATTCTTTCTAAAATGTTGTTGATTCTATTTATTAAAAAATAAATAATGTTCTGTTTTTAAACTGGAAAAATTAAATGAATTTGATCAAACAAATGTAATTGCAGATTTTGTACTGAAAATTGTAAAGATGGGAAATCTTATAAAGTTAAATATTTGCCTGCAATGGGAGTTCCACAGCACACAATATATGGCATATTTCATGGGTAAGCAAGTGGGACCTAAGAAAAATCAAGAAGTGGTTGAAAGATGAGGAAAATGACTAAGGAAAAGAAACTAATTGGAAGAAGAATCCTTCAAAACATTGAATGAACACTTAAAATATTGGAAAGAATGTTCAAAATTTCACATAGACATGTCCATTGGATTCTGAAAAAACATTAAGAATAGATTCTCAAGAAGTAAAAGTTTGCTTCATAATATATGACAAAGCAACACGCTACTGAAAAAAACCATCTGCAGAAGCTGTATGATGGAGTCTTGAAAGCATATAACAATCTTGATGTTATGGGCAACAAGTTGTATTTCATTTTACACATAAGTGAATGCACTGATAATCTATTTCACCAAAGAAGGGCTATATATGGATCCTCAAATCAAATTCAGACAACACTCCAAATCTGGCTGGCAATCAGTCCAAAAGAATGTTCACAGGCCTTCACTGCCCTGTGACAGCTCTCCATCACTAAAGAAGTGTATGGCAATGAATGCATTCAGAAGAGGCTAGTACCTTTCCTAAAGAAATACTACTCTAACCATGAAAGGATATGTCTTCTAGCCAGACGTGCCCACCACTAATTATGCTCATGATACAGTTGCAAAGCTAGGACAATTACAGAATTCAATACATCTCCCATGAAGCTAATGTTCCAAACATTCTGCAACATAGATTGACCGAAAATTTGGTACCAACTAGAGCAAAAAGTTTATGAAAATGGTTGGGAAGCTGGATCTATAAAGGAGTTGGAAGACAGGATGAAGACCAAACTTCATCACTTCAAAGCTGACAACTTCTGGAGGTTAATGGATCTAAAGTTCAAATACAGTTCTGATCATTTCATCTGAACATTAAACAACTTATCTACTTTTAGGATACACACCCTTAATTGGCTTCACTGTACAACTGTGTAATTTGAATACTATACAACTTTTAAGCTTTGATATTGTTCCAATTAAACAATACCAAACCTCAGGGTACCAATACAGAAATTCCTGTTTTCTGAAATAATGCATGCACGAAAGGAAAAAAATTATACAAATAATCCCCAATGATTTCTTTCACAAAACCTCATATGTAACAAAGTGAACTGTAACTTGTACAATCTGCAATTTACATGTTGCACAAACAAGATTCCTATCAAAAGAAAATAAAAGAAAACTGTTATTGGCTACTTTAATATCTAAAATTAAAACGAGAATTGTTCTATAAAAATTATCTCCACTTTGCAATGTTGCAATTCGAGTTTTTTTAACGTTAGATGATATTAGGTACAAAACAATTGTATCTATGCACTTCATCACAAATACAATTCTGTTTCTGAATCTTTAGACTCCATTTTTACAGCCTGATTCCTGAATAACTGCACATTTCCCATGCGGTCAGTGCCATACATTGCAATTGCATTCCTGACTATGAAGTTTGAATTATATAATCATTCAGAAGGATCCAATAAAAACTTTAGCCTTATTTAGGGATGATAATCCCTACATCAACATAGGGATTTTAGCATCTCTTCCTTACAATATAGGATAGCCAAATATTATTTCTGCTGCCAAGTCTTCTTCCATCTGGATTTGGGAGCAGTTAGAACACTTAGCTCCAAACAGAGATAGATTCAACAAAGGTAAGGCATTTCACAAAATAAAAAATTTATAATAGTTATAAAAGCAAAGATTGTAAAGCAAGAAATCTGCAGCATATTTAGGAGAGATTCGGAAAAACTTGTAAACTCCTCAGTTTAATAATTTATGTATGCACTTACTTCATCTTGAGTATGACCTCTTGTTAATAAATTTCTAGCACTTAATGGTGCATCATTTATTTCAACTTCTGCAGTAACTAAATCTCCCGAACCTCTTCCTGCAATATTGATAGTAGTACCAATCTAGAAACAATAATAGACTATTACTTTAACGTTTAAAATGCATTACGTGCCTTAATATATTCATTAGAATTAAGACAAAAAAGACTTATTAGAATTAAGATTACATAATATGTTAATTATGATTGATAAATGAAAATACTGTATTTCCAACACTTCTAAAATGTACTTTTTTAAATACCATTTTTACTTGTCTGGTATAGAGATGTGTCTTACATTCACATTTGAAAATAATATAGTCATTGTGAGTATATTTTATGATGTATTATGTACCAACTACAGTCATTTTTGGCTAAACTTCTTAATGCTTACTTCAAATAAACTTTGTTGGTGATGAATGTTTAGTTGAAACTACTTTTTAATGTTTGAAATGCCTTCAAGATGATATTATGATGTCTCGTTAAAACAATCAGTTAAAGGAATTCCTCATTAATTCAATCTCAGATAGTTTGAAATCCCATTAGTTTGTAATTACTTTAATCCCGGCCAGGGATGTAGAGATTTACGTGTTAAGGAATTCGGTTAGTTAGAAGCATGGCTACTTTGAAATTTGAAGTGAAAATTCTGTCTGAACTGTGATATGTGTACTTTAACTTGTTTGCTAGATCAAAGTGCCTCCAAGAGAATAACAGACCAAGAACAACTCTAATCTGGTCAATATAGCTTTGCTTTTACAGCAACACATTTTCGGGTGTCACCTTACACAAAGACTATCCTTTTTTCTCTCATATGATAAAATACAGCTGGTTTTCAAGATTGCAAGATTGGGCTACGAGTAGCAGATTAAGAATGTTTGTAGGACATTCGGCTACTATATTTGGGCAACTAACTGCTTTTTGGGCCACCTTAATCACAATTTTGAATTATTGAGTTTTGAAATCAATATTTCGTCCCTTGAATTTTGAACTAATAAGGATTTCCTGCATTCGTTTTAATGGCACATCAAAACATGAAAACAGAGCTAATAAACATTGCCTGTGTTCTCTAATTTGTTAAGTAATAAATGCACTAAATACTGGATAATACTCAAAACACTTACACAACCAAAAATCAAGTTGGTGAATCTTAAAATTCAATTTCAAACGTGTGGTGCATCTTACAATTGAGGAAATACAGTATTTAGGAAATTTAACAATTACAAAACAATCAATATTTCTTCTTGTCAATCTGAAGACCCAGAATCAAATTGTAACAAGCTAACAGTTTTTCATGGGCAGTCTGTCCCAGATATGTCAAGCTCCCCATTTATCATTACCCAACTGTCGTATTATGGACCAGGTCAAACCCACAATGAGTGTAGAAAAAAGGTCCTGTATGCTAATAGGGCATAAAGAGCAAAAACGAAAAAAATCTTAATTACCTTGGGTTTTAGCTGTGTAGGTGGTAATTTTAATTTTCCTTTTGCTATCAACATGGCATTGACTCTTGCTGCAGCTTCTGCAGCTGCTTCCAAACTACTTTTGCTCATCTCTTCAGAAATATTGCTAATCTTTGATTCTCATACTAAAATAAATAAATAAATATCTTTTAATATAACTAAATTAAAACAAATTTTAATTAAATATTTAAATTTTTTCCATATTTAATTCTATAAAATCTTAGCTGAAGTTATAAACAAATCATACAACTTTCGTTAATTATTGCCCAATAATGAAGCAATTTAATGTTAAATGTCTTTATTATCGGAAAATAATTAATGAAAGATGTATGATAATGAAGACATTTAACATTAAATTGCGTATCAAAACATACTGTTTACTTTTATCATTATCATCACTTACATAAGAATATATAATATTTAAAACTTTCAACATTGATATTACTTATTAAACAAAATAAGCTTGAAAATTGCAGATAATCAATGCAGTTAAAAAAAAATTTGAGGTTGGAATTTGCTTATTAATAGATTATTCTATTTAAAAATTTGCTAAGAATATCAAAAATAGAAATTTACTTGCTCAATTAGCTAATTTATATCTATAAAATCTAACTAAATTTACATTAATATACAATAATAACATTTTTATCCACACACTTGATAAACCATTTTAGCAAAAGCAATCGTCGCTGTCGGTTAATTATATAATTTTTTCAGTACTAATTTTTCGATAATCACAAGAAATCAAATATAAAATGGTTCCAAATCATTCTAGATTTAATAACTTCTATAGGAATCGCAAATTAAAAATATTATGCAAAATGTAATGATCGCCACAACGATCTTTGTCCAATTTTAATTGAAGTGAATTTTTATTTTACAGATATTATTAAAAATCAGTAAGCAGTAGTGAAGAATAATAATAATTAACTAATACTTTTGAATTACAAATCTAATTTATCGATTAAAATAGCTAATTTTTTCAATTAATTACAATTAAACTATAAATTGCTTTGTTATAAGTTTTCTCGGTACTCTTTGCTTAACGGGACACCAGCAGATACAAGCTCTGAATGAGTAGTTTCACACCGTCCCAAGAATTGTTGACCTTTCATGTGATATTTGTCTCCGAGGGAGGTCAATTTTAAACATGTATCAGTCTATCGCCTATTTTACACGCTTCGCACGTAAGCTCGCACCTCAGCACCCAGGCGAGGGCGAGCCCCCAAACCCCCTAAAACTATATAACATCAGGTACTCCATATAACAATCAAGTGGGCTCTTCAAAAGTTGGCACAGTTGTGTGGGCTAAGTTGTTAAATGCCGGTGTCCCGTTAAGCAAAGAGTACCATTTACTCAAATTTTTACAAATATTTTAACATTAGACAATCTGCCAAATTATCCGGATATAATAAGGCTAAGTTACAGCCTGACAGTTCAGAAGATCGTCCAACTTCAATAAAAAACAAATCATTGGGTTTGTGAAGTTGTTGTTTAACATTACAAATAAATGTTTGTTTTAATTTTACATTGTCTTTTCGATGTAATTTATAATCCCTACGAAAAAATCATTGTATATACAGCATAACACTATTGCTGTATTTTCTCATACATAATAAATGTAAAGATAATAAAGTGAATATTAATCTTAATATTGTAATAACTATTTAAAATAAATGAATGCTATTTATATTACAAAACAAAATTATTTGATTAATAATTAAAAATAAATATCTTTTATAAACATAAAAATGTTCTTTTTAAGTGGTTCTATTTTATATAATTTTTGTCTGTATCACCGCATCCTTTCGACCTTGTTAATGTATCCTAATCAAAAGCAATATCTATTAATCAATCGGTCAATCGGTGCATGTAAACGTCTAATTCAAATAAAACTGATAAAAGATCCGAAAGATTATAAATTCCAACAAAAATCCATTAAAAATTAAAACAGAATGCATATTAAATAAATACCGATAAAAACATTTTATTTATTTTTGCACAGGGAGAAGACCTCCGTGTATTAACAAAATGCCTCAATAAAATCACAGAAATGTAAATTAAAAAAAAAAAACAAATACAAGATAAAAGTTAAAACTAAATAAAGAATACAAAATGTATAAAAATTAAGTAAAATTTGATAAAACGAGACTTTAAAAAAATTTGTATAACATATTTTTCTTATATGTTCAGTTATGTTTATTGAAATGCTAATAGCGACATGGCATTAATAGCACAAAGAAAAACGAGTGCGTAGAATAACTAGAGCAAAAGTACGGTACGGCGACAAACAAATTATAAAAAGGAAAAACTGCCTTTAAAATGCTTATAAAACCAAATACAGTCTAAGTAATAAATAGTATGGAAGTGTCTTGATCTGGCAGCCTCAGAGTTGTATAGGGAAGATGACAATTTTTTTTAAAGGAAAATAGACAACAATTTTTTCAAATTCCAGCCCAATGACTTCTGAATAAGCATGAGTACAGTAGTGACCCAAAGTGGCAAGCAATAATCAATAATGGATTGAAAATTAGCAAAAAATAAAAGTTAATAAAAAAATACGTAGAAAGACTAAAATGTCTTCACTTTCGCCAGACACTACTGCAGAGACAACCTTTCTTTGGAAGCTATGCCTTTGCAAAAAATGTAAGAGTCTAAAAATTCTCCAGTGACAAGCCGACACAGTTTCTGCAGTGGAAGACTGTTGTTCCTGGTGAATGGACGTGGCGAAAGTGAAGACATTTTAGTCTTTCTATGTATTTTTTATTACTGTGTAAATTCGTCAGACAATTTTTTAAAATGAAAAAAAAAAGAAAAAAAAAAAAACAGCTCAAAGAACTGACTAACAGACAAACTGAGATTACAAATTATGCTTTATTTCAAACTGAATTGAAAAGTTAGAAAGCCATCAACGGTTTCTATATAGAATCTTCAAATTACATAAAAATTAAGATAATCATTCTTCAAAGCAACTGTAATAATGTAGTTCATGAAAAAGCTAAATTGAAGGTACCTAAAGTAATTGACAGTAACTCCCACAAGTCGACGATAAAATCCAGGGGCTTGAAAAACTGTAAGGGATTGATCAGAAATCAGTTAAGCTTTTCAAATGTAACTACTACTATAAAATACCCAAAACTTTGTGCAGCAGTTGAGTCACTTTTATTTAAATTCTAAAGTTTTTAAGTTCAAATTTCTTAAGTTTATACACGGTTGAAGCTAGTATAAATCACAATTCTAACAAAACAAAGAAACAAAAACTGAATCTAAGTACACGGTGACTTTTTAATATGACTAAAAATTCACTAATAAACCGAACATCAACAGTCTTGTGAATGCTCATCAGCTACGTTTGTCTCACTAATGACGTAAATAAATTCAACAGAAAGTACTTTAACTGTTAAAGTATTTTAATATACATATATTAGGCTATTTTTTTATTTTTCACGTGTTAATTTTATTTACAATATACTTTTACTAAAGGGGACAATGAAAGACCATGAATTCCACAGAGCAGTCAACACTCAAAAAAGTTTAAGGACCTGAACTAAATGAACGCTTCAATGAATATGAAGGATAAAGATGAAAGGTCTTCAAAAACACTAAACTAATATTGATATTAACAGATTGTAAACTGTCAAAAATGAAAAAAGAAAAACCGGGGATGAGGAGTTGGAGTCGAGGAGTCAAATCTTTTTACGGCAGTCGAAAGCCGGAGTTGATTTTAAAAAATACCGACTCGTATTTTTTTGCCAACTCCCTGTCCCTGAGAAAAACTATGAAAGCTTTATTGAACTAAGAAATTTCTTTTATTGCAACACTTTCTTAACAACTATCATCTTCAATCATTTTCCTCGTTGTTTAAATCTAGAATATAAAGTTCAGTTCTTGTTGTTGCAGCAATGTAATCCTAATTTTGTAATTTGGAGATGCACCATTTGGCTTAACCTGTATGGAAAATGTCATTCACAGATAAAATTATCCGACAAATTCCATCAAATGCCATATTCATGATATAATTTTATAATAATTTTTGAGTTTTGATTCACTTACATTCAAGAAAATATACTACTTTTGGTGATATGGCTCAGCCTAAAATTAATTGAAGTACACTGTAAAACGCAGCATACTACATTAAAATTTATCAAACGATAAGAAATAATCATTTCTTGCTCACCATTTAAAAAAAAAAAAATTACAGATTTTACCAAATGACGACGACAAAATATGTTTCTACTATAACAAGTGAACATTATGCTAAGGGTAAAATTTATTTAATTTTAACAAATAAATTTATTATTCACATTAAATTTAAATTAAATATAGTAAAACCTCTGCTCTGTGACCTCCAATGGTTCCAAGCGAACTGGTCTTTATGAGTTTTTGCTTACTGTTTTTGCTTACTACAAATAATTTATGATAATTAAATAATAAACATTCTATTGATGTAAGTGTGAAAGAATGTTACTACACTTTTAGAGATGTAAAGGATCGAAAAGAAATTATTACCATATTCAAAAGTTTTCATAAAAAATAACACATGAGAGACTCCTAAAAGTGTTGTATTTTTCTTTACAAGTTTCAGCACAACCATGCAATTTGGCCATGCACTAGGACATTTTTAGACGGATCCTTATGGCTAGTGAGTATTATTCCACTTTGCAAGTGGCTGTCTGTACATTCTACATTATTGGTACGAAAATGCTGATTAGTTTGAGATTTGACATACTGACAATTCTATGAAGACAAAGCATTAACTAACACCTACGTGTGTTGTCGCATTATTTAGGAGTATAAAAGATCATTCTGTAGTTTTTAGGGGGTTAAGTAAAAGTTTGTTTTGATAGCAGGTATTATCAAACAAAACTTATATTGTTGTATGCTTTGAAAAAGTTTTAAAAATCCCTCACATTGCCATTTCATATAGTTCGAACTTATAGACAGTATCTTGTCTTTTGAGTATATCCATTTTTACTCTCTTTTTAACAACTAAGTTATAATAAAATAAAGAAATGGTGTATATTTATGTATATATTCACATAAATCGAAAAACAGACACAAAACACAAAAACAAAGACATTACACTTATTTTCTCATGACTTGATATAAGTCACACTATACCAGA